ACCAGTCGGTCTCCTCTGGCCCGTCCCTCCGAAGCACGGTGACGGACTCGCCCTCCCGGAAGGACAGCTCATCCCCGAATTCCGCACTGTAGTCCCAGAGCGCATACACAATCCCACTGTGCATCAGCCCCATGCTTTGCTCCACGTCTGAAAACACACGAAGAACATGGCAGGCGGGCCAGGGCCCCAGCACAGACAGACAGACAGACAGACACAAGGGGAACGGGCACAACAGAGGTGAGCCACCGGAGAAGCTGTCTGTGCCTCTGTCTGTGGGTGGCAGTGAGGGGCTGGAACGGGCACCCTCTGACATTTGAGGAGTCTTGGTGTGCAAAAATGGACAACCTACCTTCGCTCAGAGTCAATGGCTGGTGTTAATCGCCTTTCTCTTTTTTTAAAGATTTATTTATTTTTTATGGATACACTGCTCTGCCCACATGTGTGCCTGCAGGCCAGAAGAGGGCACCAGATCTCATAAAGGATGGCTGTGAGCCAGCGTGTGGTTGCTGGGAATTGAACTCAAGACCTCTGGGAGAGCAGTCGGTGCTCTTAACCTCTGAGCCGTCTCTCCAGCCCCCTCCCCCGCTTTTTGTTTTAAAGATTTGCTTATTTATGTGTTTTATGTAGAGGGATGCTCTGTCTGCATGTACATCCACTCACCACAAGAGGGCATCGGATCCCATGGAATTACAGTGACATGGTCGTAGCCGCCACGGCAGTGCAGGGCACTGAACTCAATACTCATGACTGCCTGGTGACCTCTCCAGGCCCCCACCTCCCTCTTTAAAGATAGGCAGGCTCAAATATATCTCAGGCCGGCCTCAGGCTGGGTGCATAGGCAAGGACGATCCTGAACTTTTTGTCTTTGTGGCTCCGCCTCCCTTCCAAGCTGTGGTTTTACAGGCGTGGCCCTCAACACCCACTCTACGCAGTACTGGGGATAGAACCCAGACCCTCAGTCGTCCCAGGCAAGCGCTCCATGTGCCGAGCTACATCCCAGCCCACCCCCCCTTAAGTGTCTTTACTTTTTTATTTTGTGTGCATTGGTGTTTTGCCTGCAGGTGTATGTATGTCTGTGCAGGAGTGCCAGAGTCTGGATTTATAGACGGTTGTCATCCACACAACCTTTTTTAAGGACAGGCTCTCTCTAGAACTCTAGCTGGTCTCCAGCTATGATCTTCCAGCCTTAGGAATGGGCCTGCATTGCCTGTCCCCCCAATCCTACCTCATACAATGTTAAAGCCTTCTGCCCCGTGAGCCCTAATGCCGACTTATGACATGATCTGCCCCTCCAGGTGGAGACTATGGGCAAGCCTCTGGTGCAGTCTTATCTTGGCTGTCCCATTCATGCAGTTTAGCCTGGGATTATCGACAAGTGTCCCGGCCTCTGCAGTGGCTTCCCAGCAGGGTGTCATTCCTCCCTTCCTTTTGTTTGTTTTTGGTCTTGAGACAGGGTAGCCCTCTGTAGCCCTGGCTAGCCTGAGCTTGCTCTGTAGCCCAGGCTGGCCTCCAACTCACAGAGATCTACCTGCCTCTGCCTCCCTAGCGCTGGCATTGCAAGCGTGTGCCACCACAGCAGCTGGACAGTATATTTGACATTTGGACTGCTCGCCCCTCGGGTGGAACGCAGGTGAATTGTACAGTCTAAGTTCTGCCGGGTGGTTTGCACAGCTCCTACCCCCACCCCGACTTCAGGCACAGCCTCGCACCTGCCAGATAGGTGGCACAGTCCGCATAGCCCTCTCGGTAAGGGTCGCACTTTTCAATGGCAGTGGCCCCGTCGCTGAGTGTGGTGGCAAAGATGGCCGCACCGTGCTGCACCAGTGCGGTGCAGATGGCTGTGTCGTTGCAGGAAGCCGCGCAATGCAGTGGT